GTTGTGTCTCCACCCTGCTGGAACTTATCCAAACCAAAGTCAACTATGTGGTCCAAGAGGCCATTGTAGTCATCAAGGATATTTTCCGTAAATATCCCAATAAATATGAAAGCATCATCAGCACTTTGTGTGAAAATTTGGACACTTTGGATGAACCCGAAGCCAGAGCTTCCATGGTATGGATTATTGGTGAATATGCCGAACGTATTGACAATGCCGACGAATTGTTGGATAGTTTCTTGGAAGGTTTCCAAGATGAAAATGCTCAAGTTCAGCTGCAATTACTTACCGCTGTGGTGAAGCTGTTCTTGAAACGTCCTTCAGATACCCAAGAGCTTGTGCAACATGTTTTGTCATTGGCCACCCAAGATTCGGATAATCCTGATTTACGTGATCGTGGCTTTATTTACTGGCGTCTATTGTCAACTGATCCCGCTGCCGCCAAGGAAGTGGTATTGGCCGATAAGCCATTGATTTCGGAAGAAACTGATTTGTTGGAACCCACATTGTTGGATGAACTCATCTGTCACATTAGCTCCTTGGCTAGTGTTTACCACAAACCACCCACAGCCTTTGTTGAAGGTCGTGGGGCTGGTGTACGTAAATCATTACCCAACAGGGCTGCAGCTAGTGGTGAAGGTGGTGATGCTGGTGCAGCAGGAGCTGGTGGAGAGGCCATGGTTATACCCAATCAAGAATCGCTTATTGGTGATTTACTCTCCATGGACATAAATGCACCATCTATGCCAGCAGCTGCACCCACAGGCATGGGTGTTGATTTATTGGGTGGTGGTTTGGATATTTTGGTAAGTTTTTTTCAGTGGAAATGTGAAACCAAAGCCATTTATTTCAATTTCATTTTTTTGTTTTGTCTTGCAGCTCGGTGGTCCCCCTGCTGAAACCGCATCGGCCGGTGCCAGCAGCCTTTTGGGTGACATATTTGGCCTTGGTGGCGCCGCCTTAAATGTGGGTGTACAAATTCCCAAAATTGTTTGGTTACCAGCGGAAAAGGGCAAAGGTTTGGAAATCCAAGGTTCATTCTCTCGACGCAATGGTGAAATTTTCATGGACATGAAATTCACCAACAAAGCCATGCAACCCATGAGCGGTTTTGCCATACAATTGAACAAGAACAGTTTTGGTTTGGTACCCGCTCAGCCACTACAAGTTGCCCCCTTACCTCCCAATCAATCGACCGAAGTAACCCTTAATTTGGGTACCCAAGGTCCAGTACAGCGCATGGAACCCCTGAACAATTTACAGGTGGCTGTTAAAAACAATATCGACATTTTCTATTTTGCCTGTCTGATTCATGGTAATGTCCTATTCGCCGAAGATGGCCAGCTGGACAAGCGTGTGTTCCTCAACACCTGGAAAGAAATACCCGCCGCCAATGAAGTTCAATATTCATTGAGTGGTGTTATTGGCACCACCGACGGCATTGCCTCGAAAATGACCACCAATAATGTTTTCACCATTGCCAAGCGTAACGTTGAAGGTCAAGATATGCTCTATCAGTCATTGAAGCTTACCAACAATATTTGGGTATTGCTTGAGTTGAAATTACAACCCGGTAATCCTGATGCAACATTGAGCTTAAAATCACGTTCCGTGGAAGTGGCACCAATGATATTTGCTGCCTATGAAGCTATCATACGTTCCCCTTAAATTTATTAAGAACAAAAAAAAAGAAGTAATTTATAGCGAATAATAACATCAACTCCAATACGATTTTGGTTAATAAGTTTGTAAGCAAAACCCTCTTTACACTTTCCCTCAAGCACAAATCCAAGCTTTAAAAAAAAGTATTTTGTTTTTTTTTTTTTTTCTTTTTGTCCTCTTCATAAAATGATTTCAAATACAAAACGTATTATTTTCTATTAAAAAAAAAAACAATTTAATCCTTTTTATCCTTTTATTTTAAGTTGAAATTTTAATAGAGAAGTTAACATTCCTTCTTGCTGTTCAAATGGTCGCAAATGGCTGAACCGAAATGATGCAATAAAAAAAATTATTTAGCCCACGGGAGTATTTGTTCTGAAAGCAAAAGAATACAAAATAATATAATCACCTCTCCCCAAAATAAATATGAAATACATTCTTAGTGTTAACCCAAAACTAGATGTTTTGTGTTACCTTAATCTAATAATAATAAAATGTTATTCAAAACCTATATAATTATATGCATAATTATTAATAAATATTTAATCAAAGTTAAAATTGTTTGTGTTTGTAAAGGGAAAGCTATTTAAAAAATCTCATGGAAATGTTTTTTTTTTTTTCAAACCTATAACTAAAAAATTCAGAAACCATGCCATTACTAGGGATGTATCACTTAAAGGGCTTTGAATGTCACAATAATAACTCTTAATGGACCGCCTGTGCAAATCTATTAATAAGGACATCCAGCAAGCGAAAGTCAGCTGTTTTTTCTCAAGTCAGAGGCCTATAAATAAGGTCGATCAGGGAGACCAGCTGTTTCTCAATTTTGCTGTCAAATTCCATCATTGTGAATTGACTTCCATTATGAAAACGTAAACAAAGTCTAATTTGTTTGACATTAGACTTGAGAAAAAACAGCTGACTTTCGCTAGCTGGGTGACCTTATTAATAGATCTTGCTCAAGTCTAATATCGAAAATTTGGACGTTGTTTACGTTTTCATAATAGCATTTAATTCACAATAATGGATTTTGACAGCAAACTTGAGAAGCAGCTGATTTTCCTCGTTAACTTTATAAATAGGCCTTGTCCCTTGTAGAAGAATTTTACCAGGGATAGAAGAATGTAGAAGAATTGTACCAGGGCCCATTAAACAGGTCAACAGAAAACAGTAGAAAATAGAAACATTTGCTATTTCTTAAGTCACAATTCAGATTAAAACAGCATATACATTAAAACTTTTTACCGGGTTAACCTACTTTATGAGGATTTATTTGACGTATATGCAAAGGAATTGACAATTGAAACCCACTGGGTTAACGAAATCCGGTTAAATGTAAACGTACTATAAAGTACATATTTTGTGTATGTGTGTATTATAAAAATAAAGTAATTACCCAGTAGTTCGAGTAACTGGTTATGAACTAGATATTTTACTAATTACCTGTAACTACCACTAGTTACCACATCATTCCCTAGACTGGTGAATTTAACATGGGTATGTCATTGGGGAAGTCAATTGTCCCCTGCCTGCCTTACCAGTAACCAGTCATTTGGGTAGATACTCTTTTAAGTATTATTCCTAGTTACAAATATATAGCAAAGTAGCTATTATAACAGTTTGGAAAATTGAAAATATAAAACTTATTCGAAAAATGATTTTTTTATTTATTTCCAAATTTATGTTGTACAATGTTTTTGTTCATCGTTTTTGTTGTTTCCCGACCGCATTTTACATCTTTCCGTGAAATATTCAAGCATCTGAAATAAAAAGGTACAAATTATAACTAAAGATATGGGACTCTTATGTAGAAGCTTTTCCACCCTATATATTTGGAGAATATTTACCTATTCATCTTTAATTGTTTGCTCAATCTGCTGAATGCTTCTGAATAGACATATATATTGCTTATATTTTTGTATAACACACAATTTTTATTAAACTTTTGCTTTCACAATTAAGAAAATTATAAAAAGTCTGAAGAAAATGACATTTGTTTTTTTCGGTTTTGTTTGTCGATTCATTACTTTTTACATTACCAGTAACTATAGAATTAGACAATTTTTTCAATCAACAAATCTGCCACTTTTGGGTATAAAGTAACTAGAGAACATAATAACTAGCTATATAACTATATAATAGCAGACAATTGATATTCATTGAACAACTGGGTACTTTGTTAACGATGAAACAAACATTTCGTAGTATTCTCTTCGGAAATTTGGCAACAGTTAATTTAATTTTATATTTAACAGAAGTCAATTCCATTGTATATATGTCAAATAAATCCTCATAAAGTATGTTAGCCAGGAAAAAAAATGTTCTAATGTATATGAAGTTTTAAGCTTAACAGCTGTTTAGCTGCTGATATTCCTGTGTGACTTTATTAATAGACCTTGAAATTGACATTTGAGATCGAGTGGGTTTCATAGATTAAGAGCGCGTTTAGACTACTAAACCCATTCGATCTCAAACGTTAATTTCATTGCGTATACGCCACGTAAATCCATTTCACAAATGCAGTGGATTATATTTGACGTATACGCAATGGAATTGACATTTGAGATCGAGGGGATTTCGTAAATCTAAAAGTACATGTAGTATTGCTAACAAAATACACCAAAAATTCTTATTATTAATTGATTTCATTTTATATTTTAAATCATAAACATTTTTTGACATTTCAGTTCACCAACAGCTGTTCTTAAATCTTTCCATTCTTGGCTAAAATTGTCCAGATCTGTTTAATTGAGTTTCAATTTGTATTAGCTTTTCTAGCAAAAACTTCAAAAATACTATTATATTGCAGGTTCGGGAACACAGCTATTATAGAAAATAAATGTTCAGGTCCAGAATCAGCTATTTAGTGTTGGAATATGTTTTGTTTTTATCTCTTATAAATATGAAAATTATTAACAGTTTTTGACGAGCTTTTTATAAATTGATTAGAATGTAAACACTGCCTCAATTGCAATAAATATAATTTATTATTTTTTGCAATATATTTGTTAGTTTTTTCCTTCGCCAAATGACAACTTACAGGACAATTAAATGATAATTTACCATAAAAAACATTCTGTGTAATTACGCCCTAATATGTTTAAAGCCACATAATATGCGGTCTACAAATCCCTACTGCTTAGTCTCCAGGGCTCACAAGATCGTTAATTGTATTAATAAACAAATGACAACTTTAGAACCCTAATTAAAGACCGCCAGGGTGAACAAGATCGTTTAATGTCCTAGTACAAAATTCAACCTATAGAACCCTGTGTTCAGAATTCTTTTGTATAAAGCAGGCCAGCAAAACAGCGACGGTTCTAAACGAATTTAAATAAAACACATAAAGTATGGATAAAAATGTAGATGAATTGGAAAAATGGGGATTCCCATTGGTGGAGCTTTATCGTATGGCTTTGCAATTTTACAAACGTAAGTAAAACAACACATACTTTTGGTTTTATCTCAACTTTTATGCTGACTGTTCTTCGTTTATGTTTTGTTTTCATTTCTTTTTGCCAACTGTGCCCCCCTCACACCACCTGTCACAACAACACCAACAATCAACTCTATACACACATATAGAAAACTCTGGAAAGGCTTTGCATCTCTCCTATGAGGATAATCTAAAGTTGATTGCATTTAAACAACAACAACAATGTGGTCCATTCGATCCCAAAACGGCACCCGAACTAGGGGTACTCGATGTCATTGGCAAAGATCGTCGTATGCATTGGCAAATGTTGGGTGATATTAGCCGTGAACAGGCCATGGAAGGTTTTATTGATTTGCTGGATACAATGTGTAGTGCATTCCGACCATATGTGGAAGCAGTACGAAAAAATCGTGATGAAACTTTGAAAGAAGAATTAAAGCGTATGGAAAAGGAGAAACAAGAAAAGGAACGTAAAGAACGGGAGCAGCAAGAATTACTGGAAGAGGGTTATAAGGAGGAAATGCAACGTAGACAGCTGCAGGATGCATTGAATAAACAAACATATCAACAGTTTAAGGTATGTATGGTGGCGAGTGGGTGTACATATGTGTGTATGCAATGGGTATACGTGTCCATTTAGCCATTAAAAAAAAAATAAATAAACAAGGGGGATAAAGTGGGATAGGTGAATCTTAATTGTATGTATGTAGGTATGTGTTTAATTATTATTTGTTTACTTTAGATTTTGAGTGTGTGTGTGGTTTTTTTACCTTGAATTGGGTCAATTAAAGTAGACACACCAAAGGACATTTGACATTAATTATTTATAGGTAACCCGGTTTGTTTTTGATTTTGTAGACAAGTGTGGTTTTTTGTTGTTGTGGTTGTATTGTGTTAGGGTTTTTGATTTTTTGTTTAATACAGTGGCTGGTAAAAGTATGTGCAGGCACTTTTAAATTCCATATAGGAGATCGAGATATAAAGGTGTTTTGAGAAATAATCCTGGATTGAATGGCATTTAAGGGTGAATGTTTAAGGCGGAATTTTTGGCATATGTTTC